ATATATATATATATATATATATGTTAATATTATTTCATTTATAATATTATACTTATATTATAATGGAAAGGAATATAGAAATATATATTTTTACCTATCAGCTTCATCAAAGACTACATATTCAATATTATTTAATTGTAAATCCATTTCTATACAGATATGTAGAAATCTGCCGGGTGTTGCTACTAGTATATCAGGATTTCCATGAATTGCACTAAACTGATTTTCCATACTATCACCTCCCAAAATTACAGCTGCTTTTAAATCTGTAAATTTGCCTAATTCTTTTATGAATTTCAAAGTCTGTAATGCTAGTTCCCTAGTGGGTGATAAAATTAAAGCTCTAGCACCAGCTTTTGCTTGCCTCGTTTTAAGTTTTTCAAAAAGAGGAATTAGAAAACATGCAGTTTTCCCACTTCCTGTTCTAGCCATTGCTACTACATCACGTCCTTCTAATGCTAAAGGAATTGTCTATAAAACATGTGTATATTATGATATGGAATAATATAAATATAAAAATAATACTGATTTATTAGAAATTAAGTTATAAGAACAATTTATTATGATTGTCATGTTTACCTTCCTTTGAATAGGTGTTGGTATTTTGTATCCTCGTTTTAATATTCCCTTCAATATAGGAAAACTAATAGCCATAGATTGAAATCCTCCAGATTTTTTACATAATTTTTTTTTCATATTATTAATTTCATTATCTTCATCATTATCGTTCTCTTCTTTTGGATCGGCAAATCCCACGATATTTGTATTTTTCATTTTCAAAGATTTATGGTTTGTTTTGACAGTTACAAGACAATAACCTTAAAATGCGTACATTTAGCACGTGGTTTCGTTTAACAAGTACATCTTTAAATTTAAATATTTTTAATTCAATTATTGAATATGAGATATATTATCAATTATTGATTTAATTATCAATTCAATTATTAAATATGAGATGATTAGAAACTGTTACCCATGGTTATGTAAAAATTATTTTCACTTTTATTGTATACATTAAATTGGTAATTAGTACTTACTTCTATAAAACTCCGTATATGTATTATAAGAAATTGTTAAAAATTATTAAAATTATTATTACATATTTATCATCTCATTCAACAGTTCATATTCTTTTCAATTTCTTATTTAAATCAATGTACGTGAAAATTGGTTTTTAAATATTGGCAACACTTAATATATATTCCACCATGTTGTATCTTCAAAAAGTCGGCCATTTTCGTTAAATCTACGTATTCTTCATAATTCAACATGAAGTAAGTGAATGTTTTTAGGAGATATATCCGACAAATTAAATGCAATCATTAAAAATTGCTGTAACATTTTCAAGAAATTATACCTGTGAAAGATTTGTAATAAATATAATATTAATCTTTTCAGGATCGGTCTTTGTGCATATAGTGGATACAAAATATATCCAGGCCATGGTAAAACAATGGTAAAAGTGGATGGAAAAGTATGTTGAACAAAATTCAATTAAATTTATTTATGTTGATCGTAATATTATTAAGTTTTTATTACAGTTACTTCATAATTAAATAATTCTTTATTTATTCATGTGACAACCATAACCTCTGCATATTTTCAGACATTCACTTTTCTAAATTCAAAATGTGAATCTGCACATTTAATGCGACGTAATCCAAGAAAAGTCACATGGACTGTATTATATAGGTATATTTATCTCTAATATTTTATATATTATTAGAGACAAGAAGTAATTATGAAATGTATAATTTAATGTTATAGACGAAAGCACAAAAAAGGGCAAGAAGAAGAACAAACGAAAAAGAGAACAAGACGTACTCAAAAATTCCAACGTGCTATTGTAGGTGCATCTCTTACTGACATTTTAGCAAAACGTAATATGAAACCAGAAATTCGCAAAGCGCAAAGAGAACAAGCAATCAAGTAAGTATTGTTCCAATGTAACTAACTCAGATATTCAAATTTATATTATAAAAAAAAGACCACATTATAGATATCTGTTCCTTTAATATGATATTTTATATCATGTTAGATTTCAGAATGTCTTAGAATAAATGAATTGCTTCACCCAGAATTGTAATATATTTTACACTGTCTGGTTTTTGCGGGTTCAAACAAATTCATATTGATAGTTACTGTTGTTATTCTTTAAACTATACGTGTTAAATTTGTTTCAGAGCTGCGAAGGAACAGAAAAAAGCTGCAAAAGCGTCGAAGAAAGCAGTTGCACCTCCTAAAACGAAAACTCTGCCAAAGCATAAAATTGCAAGAGTAACACAAAAATCAGCCCCACGTGTCGGAGGAAAACGATAAATTTCCGCATTGTATAAATAAAATGAAACTTTATATTTAAAAAATTTATTTGTTATTCTTCCACAAAATTTTTTTTTAAGTTATCAAATATTCAGTTTTTATAAATAAACCATTTTAACGTGTATTGATATAACAAGTAATGATAATTAATATATTTATTTAGTTTACAGGTTAGTTTACAAGTTCAGTTTTATTGCTATGCTAACTCAGTTCTTTTATTATGGTATTAATATTTTTATTTTTTTTTATTTAATTCTTTTTTTAACAATGATAATTTTGTTAAAGCTTCATCTCTCCATGCACGTCTTTCCTGAAGCTTTTCTAGCGGACACATCTCATTCAATTCATTACTAATCTTTTCCGCCATCTCGCCCTCAAATTTAGGAACTGGACCAAATGTCATACTTACATCATAAATTGAATTTTTGTAAGTTTCGCAGTATTTCTTCATCCCTGAGACGAAGTAATTTAAATGTTACTTAGCTCTTAAAATTACATTATTAATTATGAAATTTGTTTTTATAAACAAATAAAAGATTTTACCTTCAGCATTTAAATGTGCCGCCTCAAAAGCACCGAGGAATGCATATCGCATTCCAAGCCCTTCACTCATAACGGCGTCTATATCTTTGGCGCTTAAAATTCCATCAGCTACGAGTCTCCAAGTTTCATTTAAAATTGCATATCTAAACGTACATTAATTTTTTTTTTTTTTTGGATAAATATATAAATATTAACAGTAACAGATTTGAAATTGAATGTTCATATTCTAAAAAAATTACATACTGTATCCGGTTAAGTGCAAAACCATCAATTTCTCTAGAAAATACAACAGGTGTTTGGCCTATTTCTGTCATAATAGTTTTCGTTTGTAATGGTATTTCAGCACGTGTCCAAGGAGCTGGGACAATTTCTACAAGTGGCACATAATATGGAGGATTTACCTATATTTAGAAGAATATATATCTTTAGTTATTTCAAAAAAAAATGTTTACATTAAAAATAAATTTTTTTCCTGTATATGTATATTAGAAAAAGATACATACCGGATGCGATACAATAATTTGTTCACGATGCTTTAACTTCTCGCTAAACAAGGATGGACGGAAAGTAGATGTTGAAGAAGATAAAATTACTCTATTATCAACTAATTTATCAAGTTCGTTGTAAACCTTAAGTTTTAATGGTAAATTTTCGGGAACGCATTCTTGTATAAATTTTGCTCCCTTTACAACTTCAACTAAATTAGACGATCCTGTTAACAATTGATTGAATTAATTTCAATATGTTGTATAGTTATATTAATTCGAATATTAATTTTATGAACAGTTAATTATATATATCTAGATATATATTGCGACAAGTATGTGTGCGAACCTGTAATTAATTTAAATTGCTGATCCGCGGTGAGTGAGCCTCTTAAAAGGCCACTACTTTCGAGACGCTGCAATTGCTGTTGAATATCTTCGAGAGCACGATTGATTTGTTCTTTTACAATGTCATAAATAATTACTTCGTATCCTACGCTGGCAAACAGCATTGCCCAACTTCGGCCGATGAGACCGCTAAAATAAATATTATATTATTATTTTATTTCAGATTAAATCAGTGCATCCGATATTACTGTATTTTTCAATCTTACCGTTTCAATTTATCATTTGTTGTTATAAATTGCGTTGTTTAAATAAGATTAATTAATTTTTAAGTTTGATATCTGTAGCTAGATATTAAATTTTATATAATTCTATCTACTATTTTTCTCTCTTTAATTTTTCTGCTATTATCTTATCAAATAAGATTCAATGCAGGGCATCAGTAATTTGATTTTTAAATGAATTATCGTTTAAAAATATATTTTTCCTAGCTTTTTTTCTCGCAAATATAGTTTATTCATTCAAAAAATATCATATTTATATATTATTTGTTAATAAATTATACATAATTGTACATAATAATTTCGTTAATAAATACGAAAATATTAAATGTGTATCAATATTATAAAACTAGGTTTACTAAAATAATTTAAAATGTATTTTAATGAAATTATTACTGTATATTGTATGATGCACTTTAATGAAATTGAATTACAAGTAATTTTATAGTATTAAATGAAATTATCTAAAACATAATTATGTATAAATCATTATATATAATCACTATATTGTTTATTTATTTTTAATAAATCTAAATATTAAAAAATAATATTACGTTTTCAAGTCAAATTTCATTACCTGCCAATTATACCAATTTTCTCGCCTTTAACTGACATTGCTGGATTTCTTTACTCTATGAAATTTGTACTCGAAGTGTAAGCAATACCACAGATAACTTGTCTTTCTAATGCATTTGTACACAAGTACTAACTTATATACATATGTAATCGTAAGATATCCCCACCATCGATGTATAAATTTCATGAAATTAAAGTTACAGTATTTCTTCTAAACTTATAATTTTTCGACTACGTATATTATTTTTCTGTGATTATGGTTAGTGAATAAAACAATATATTATTCCATTCAAAAAAGTGGACCTTAAAATCTCCGAAATCACTTGCAAAAAAATTGTTATTGCCATATTATG